ACCCAGGCTGGAGTTCAGTGGTGTGATTTCAGCTCACTGCAAACTCTGCCTCCTGGATTTAGGCAATTCTCCTGCCTCAGCCTCCCAAGTAGCTGGGAATACAGGGTCTGTGATTCTTTAATAAGAAACATACTGACCTAAGCGGAAGAGTAAACATTTCATTTTTTTCCTCATTAAGAATTATTTTGAAGGGTCTCAAAATTCTGACACATTTTTGATCAAAAAGACACATTTTTGATCAAGATGCTTCCATTAAAAAGTACTGATTTTAAAAACTGCCACACAAACACACAAAATGCGTAGAAGTTTCTTGAAGGATGTTTTCAGAGCTTGCAGATAAGAAAATTGGGGTTAGACCCCATATAATGTCCCATCAGGAGCAATCACACTAAATTTTAAGTCTTAGGAAAAGCGACTCTAGCCCATCTGGCATATTCATACACATTAACAGAAGGAGCCCCTAGCTCTAGGGGTGTTTATGGCTTAGTGAGTGGAGCTGAATTTCAGTTTCCACTGTTCCTATGCCAGACTACCTTTGTGCAGAATGCAATCTGCACAGCAGTATGCAGTGGTCCCGTCTTAGACGAATTTACCATCACTTGGTGCATGATTCTGGGCTGAGTGTCTCTCCCCTCTCTGTCCTCATTTTAGTAGCCCCCTTTACAAGATAGAAGAAAACGTTTCCTCCAACATCTATGGTGTATCAGAACCTACAAGTGCTTTGCTAGGTCCTGCCATACAGGATTATTTGCAGCGTTGCTGTCTTTAATGAGAGTAGATACCTGAAAATTGACTGTAATTTTGGAAAGAGGTGGAGGCTGAGGGGAGGTCCTTTCACGTCTCAGAGGGTAGTTGCCTGTCCCTTGACTTGGACCTTTTATTGTATCTTCTTCTATTATAGCATGATGACGGTGTCATTTTTTTTCCTTGAGGTGGTCTGCAGTCAGGATGACACCATCCCTGCCTCACAGAGTATAATTCACTGAACGTGTGACTGAATATGTACTCTGTGTGGCTCAAGGCTATGCTCTGGGGATGCCATCAGATGCCTCAGATGTGGTTCTTACCTGCATGGAACCAATGCTTTAAATTCAAACAAATAAGTTCCAGCAGGGTAGCTTAAACATTATGATAGGGACACACGGAGAGTAGACAGGAGGCTGAGGATGCCAGGAAATGGGAGTGAAAGAAGTACTCCCTGTGGGGGCTCCAGATTAGCTGGGGCCTCAGGGGTGAGTGGGAGGAAGAAGCAGGAAGAGTGATTCAGGAAGAGGGAAAGGACCTCTGTGGAAAGGACTGAATTCCAGCCTGAAAAATGTGCCTTTGGGGAACTGAGAGAAGTTCATCAGGATAAATGTAGATGCCAAAGAGGGGTGTGGGACAGCTGAGGCCGGCGAGGCAGACAGGGTCCGTGTTTGAAGGATCCTGTAACTTAAGCTGGAGTGTGTGTACTCAATGCTCAGGGACTGAAAACAGGGTTTGACATAGTAAGTTCTGTATTTTAGAAAGACCGGTCTGGCTATCCTTTAGGAATGGATTGGGTGGGAAAGGGTAGAACTAGAGGCAGTGAGATCTGAGGACTGTGCAGGAATCCAGGTGAGATGGAGTGATGACATCCCTATGGTGGTAGTAGAGGCCACAGAGAGAGGTGGAGGAATTTGAGAGGTCAGTGGAGGTTAATGGTTAATGGCCAGGGTGCAGGGCAGATCAGGGAGTGTAGATGGCAGACATTGTGGACAAGCTGAGTCAATGAGTGGCTGAAGTGGGTGGGCTGATGCCTATATTCCTGGCTGGGGCCAGTGGATGGGTGGGTGACCATGTTTTTCACCAAGATGGGGATCCCAGAAAAGGGAACAGGTGAGGAAGAAGATGGGTCCAGTGGTGAACATGCAGACTTTCATGGATGGCAGCTGAAGCCAAGGAAGTGCATGGGTTAGTCCTGTGTTGAGTAAGGGGAGAAAAGGGCTTAGGATGGCAACCTGAGGAACCCCACATTTAAGGAAAGGGTGCGGGAAGATGAGGTGTGGAGGGAGAGCAGCTAGAGAAGAAAGCCAAGAGAAGGTGGTGTGATGGAAGCTACGGGAAGAGAATGTTTGGAGAAGTCAAGAGGGGTGGCAGAGCCAAATGTACAGAGATCAAGTCAGGAAAGATTGGGGAAGTTAATGTTGTACTTGATGGTAAGGAAATCCTGGGTCGCCCTGGGGGAAACCATTTTCTTAGCGAGGAGGAGAAAAGGCCTAGGGATTGAAAGCTGTCATTCTCCTCTTTCTTCATTGACTGTGAGCGACTTGCGGGCAGCAGTGGTATGCTGGAGCCGAACAAGCTTGTGCCGGCTCATGAGAGCTGATTGTTAAGAGATTCTGGAATTTTGAGAGCTGGTTGTTAAATTATTGGTCACCTGAAATTTGCTATAGTGAAAGGTTTACACCACAGAAATCAGCAAATGCTATAAATTGGGATTCTCTCTCCTCGCCCTGTCTCCCTCACTCCCCCTGAGTTAGTTTACCAACACTCCACTGGCAAGGAGTTCGTCTTGTTTCTGTAACCCAGTGCTTAGAATCCAATAGATCATCAAAATCTGAAGGAGTAAAGACGTGAATAAATTAATACATGACAGAGAGAAACAATGCCAGAGTTTCATGCTGGTCTCCATCTCCCCTTGTGGTCCTCTAGCTTCCTTGTGGGCCAGGATGGTGCCATTTATGAAGGGGTGGGCTGGAATGTCCAAGGCTTCTCCACCCCTGGCTATGATGACATCGCCCTGGGCATCACTTTCATGGGCACATTCACAGGTAAGTGGATGCTTTGGGCAGTAGGGTCATTGCATGGTATTTGAAAGAGAGCATCTGACATGGAAGACAAAGTCTCAGTCTCAAGTGTCATTTTAGTGCCTGCCTATGCTTGATTGACCCAACTTCCTCAATCCAACATTTGACTCAGCTGAGTGTGATCAGAGGTGACCCCCAGACATAATACTCACATTTACCTCCTTTACATCCAGCCAAATATCTCTTTCTTCCAATATGTAAGGAATATGCCAAGTAAGGGGAAAAGATCTTTGTGCATATTTTTAGCTCATCTTGGTCAGCAGATGCAGCCTCTCTTGGTTACCATGACAACAATATAGAGACACTTTGCCTCATATGCCAAAACCACAATAAGCCCCAGTCTTTGACTTGAGAATTGTCATGAGTCAGAGCTCTATTTTACTTTTTATTTTTCATTTTGACAGATTTAGGGGCTACAAATGCATCGTGTTACATGGATGTATTATATAGTGGTGAAGTCTGGGCTTTCAGTATACCCATCACCTGAATAATGTACATGGTATCCATTAAATGATGTCTTGTCCCAATCCTGCTCTCACTCTTCCACCTTTTGAAGTCTCTGATGTCTGTTATTGTGCTCTGTGTACCAGTGTGTACCCATTGTTTAGCTTTCACTTATAATTGAGAACGTGTAGTTTTTTGTTGTCTGTTTCTGAGTCATTTTACTTAGGGAAAGGGCCTCTATTTCCACTCATATTGCTGTAAAAGACATGATTTCATCTTTTAAATTGTTTGAGATGGAGTCTCGCTCTGTTGCCCAGGCTAGAATGCAATGGTGTGGTTTCGGCTCACTGCAATCTCCACCTCCTGGGTTCAAGCCATTCTACTGCCTCAGCCTCCCAAGTAGCTGGGACTACAGGGGTGTGCCACCACACATGGCTAATTTTTGTATTTGTAGAGATGGGGTTTTGTATTATTTTGTATTAGTAAAGATGGGGTTTCACTATGTTGGCCAGGCTGGTCTTGAACTCCCGACCTCGTGATCTACCTGCCTTGGCCTCTCCAAGTGCTGGATTACAGGTATGAGCCACCACGCCTAGCCATGATGTCATTTTTAATGGCTGAATAGTATTCCACAATGCGTATACACACACACACACACTCACACACGATCATCCCCCCCCTACATTTTCTTTATTCAGTCATCCATTGATGGATATTGAGGTTGATTCCATGTTTTTGTTATTGTGAATAGTGTTGAGATAAACATATGAGTGCAAATGTCTTTCTGATATAATGATTTCTTTTTCTTTGGGGAGATATTCAGTATTTGGATTGCTGGATCAAATGGCTATTTTATTTTTAGTTCTTTGGTGAATCTCCGTAGAGGTTGTACTAATTTACATTCTCATCAGTAGTGTGTAAGCATGCTCTTTTCTCTGCATCCTCAGCAACATCTGTTATTTTTTGAGTTTTTAATAATAGTCAATCTGATTGAGGTAAGATAGCATTTCACTGTGATTTTAATTTGCATTTCTCTGATGATTAGTAATGTTGAGCATTTTCTCATGGTTTTTGACTGCTAGTATTTCTTCTTTTGAAAAACGTCTGTTCATGTCCTTTGCTCACTTTTTAATGAGCTGATTTTTTTCCTTAAGTTGTTTGAGCTCCTTGTAGATTCTGGGTATTAGCTCTTTGTCAGATGCATAGTTTGCAAACATTTTCTTCCATTCTGTAGGCTATTTACTCTGTTGATTATTTCTTTTGCTGTGCAGAAACATTTTAGTTTAATTAAGTCTCATTTGTCTATTTTTGTTTTTGTTGCATTTGCTTTTGAGGACTTAGTCATAAATTCTTTGCCTAGGTCAATTTCCAGAAGAGTTTTTTCCTAGATTGTCTTCTAAGATTTTTATAGTTTGAGATCTTACATTTAAGTCTTTAGTCTATCTTGAGTTAATGTTTGCATACAGTGAGATATGTGGGTCTAGTTTCATTCTTCTGCATATGACTATCCAATTTTCTCAGCACCGTTTATTCAATAGGGTGTACTTTCCCTGGTGTATATATTTGTCAGCTTCATCAAAGATCAGTTGATTGTAGCTATGTGACTTTATTCCTGGGTTCTCTATTCTGTTCCATTCATCTATGTGTCTGTTTTTATACCAGTACCATGCTAATTTGGTTACTATAGTTTTGTAGTATAATTTGAAGTCAGGTAATGTAATACCTCCAGCTTTATTCTTTTCGCTTAGAATTGCTTTGGCTATTTGGGTTCTTTCTTAGTTCTATGTGAATTATAGAATAGTTTTTAAAAATTCTGTGAAAAATGATGTTGGTAATTTGACAAGAATTGTGTTGAATCTGTAGATTGCTTTGGGCAGTATGGTTATTTTAATGACATTGATCCTTCAAATCTATGAGCATGGGATGTCTTTTCATTTGTTTGTGTCATCTACAATTTCTTTTCATCAGTGTTTTTTAGTTCTTCTTGTAGAACTCTTTCATCTCCTTGGTTAAATGTATTCCTAAAATATATCTATATATCTATATCTATAACTACACACACACACACACACACACACACACACACATACACATATACACACCTATATATAACGTATATATATAGGGTATATATATATAGGATATATACACACACACATATATACACACCTATATATAACCTATATATAGGTTTTATATATATATATAGGATATTTATAAATATATATATATAGGTTATATATATATATCCTATATATAGGTGTGTATATGTGTGTGTGTGTGTGTGTGTGTGTGTGTGTGTGTGTGTGTATATATATATATATATATATATATATACACATATATATTTTTAGGAATACATTTAACCTATATATATATATAGGTTATATATAGGTGTGTATATGTATATAATTTCTCCTCTATCTCATTTGATTGCACATGGAGAATAAGGAGTAGCATGCAGTGTGTATGTTATAGAATACAATGGACAGATTTTGGCAAAAGGACCAAAGAGAGCAGTAGGGTGGTCAAGTCTCCCTGATGGTATCATAAATCAGAAAAGGGATCCTATGGGAGGCACGGGGGATTCTGAGCGGAAAAAGGACTACAGTAGACCTAGGATAGTGAGAAGGGTTGCAGATAGCATAAACCAACCAAAGAAAACAGATCCAGAGAAAGAGAGAAGAGAAAAAAGAAGGAATAAGAGAAAAAAAGGAAGATGAGAGAGAGGTTAGAATGAGGCTATTGTTTTTTGATGAGCTGAACTCTCCAATTTCATTACAGATGCTTACACAGTAGATCATTGTTTGGAACAAACTCTAGTATGCCATATATATATATATATACACATATATGGTATATGGCATATATATATGGTATATGCCATATACCACATATATATATATATACATATATAACATATATATAGGTGTGTATATCTATAGGTGTACATATCTATATCTATCTATCTATAGCTATTGTATATGGGATTGAGTTCCTGATTTTGTTCTTAGCTTGATTGTTATTGGTGTATAGAAATGCTACTGATTTTTGCATGTTGATTCTGTATCCTGAAACTTTACTGAAGTTGTTTATTAAATCTAGGAGTCTTTTGGAAGGATTCTGAGGGTTTTCTATGCATAAGATTATATCATCAATGAGCAGAGATGATTTGACTTCCTTTTTTCCAATTGGGATGCCTTTTATTTATCTCTCTTGCCTGATTGTTTTATTCAATACTATGTTGAATAGGAGTGGTGAAAGTGGGCATCCTTGCCTTTTTCCAGTTCTTAGCAGGAATGTTTTCAACTTTTCCCCGTTCAGTGTGATGTTGGTTGTGATTTTGTCATATATGGCTTCATTATTCTGAGGTATGTTCTTTTGATGCCTAGTTTGTTGAGGGTTTTTTTTTTTTATATATCATGAAGTAATGTTGGATTTAATTGAATGCTTTTTCTGCATTGAAACAATTATATAGTTTTTGTTTTAATTCTGTTTATGTGGTGAGTCACATTTACTTATTTACATATGTTGAACCATCTCTGCTTCCCAGGAATAAAGTCCACTTGATTGTGTGAGTTAACTTTTTGATATGCTGTTGGATTTAGTTTGCTAGTTTTTTGTTGCGAATTTTTACATCTATGCTCATCAGGGATATTATCCTGTAGTTTTTGTTGTTGTTGTTGTGTCCTTACCTGGCTTTGGTATCAGTGTGGCTTTGTAGATCAGTTAGGAAAGATTCCCTCCTCCTCAATTTTTGGGAACAATTTTAGTAGGATTGGTGTTCTTCCTTTTACATCTCATAGAATTCGGCTGTGAATCCATCTGGTCCTGGGCTTTTTGTTGTTGGGAGATTCTTTTTTAAATTACTGATTCAGTTATTTGTTTTTGGTCTATTTATGATTTCTATTTCTTCCTGGTTCAATCATGGTATGTTGTATGTTTCCAGGAATTTATGCATTTTTTTTAGGTTTTTTTAGTTTGGGTGCACAGAGAGCTCATAGTAATCTCTGACAATCTTTTGTTATTTCTGTGTTATCAACTGTAATGCTATCTTTATCATTTCTGATTGTGGGTATTCTAAACTTATGTCTTTTTTTCTTAGTTAATGTAGCTGGTAGACTGTGAGTTCTGTTTATTTTTTCCAATAACCAACTTTTTATTTCATTGATCCTTTTCATTTTTTATATTTGGTCTCAATACCATTTAGCTCTGCTGTGATCTTTGTTATTTCTTCTGCTAGCTATGGGTTTTGTTAGTGCTTGCTTTTCTATTTTTTTGAGGTATGATGTTAGGTTGTTAATTTGAGACCTTTCTATCTTTCTGATAGAGGCATTTGATGCTATAACATTCTATCTTATCACTGTTTTTTTTTTTTTTTGTTGTATCCCAGAGGTTTTGGTATGTTGTGTCTCTATTTTTATTCATTAAAAAATCTTTAATTTTGGCCTTAATTTTATCATTGACCAAATGATCATTCAGGAGCAGGTTGTTTAATTTCCATGTATTTGTATAGTTTTGAGAGTTCCACTTGATATCGATTTCTAGTTTTCTTCCACTGTGGTCCAACAAGATACTTGATATGATTTTAATTAAAAAAAAATGTAAGGTCTGGCACAGTGGCTCACACCTGTAATCCCAGCACTTTGGGAGGCCAAGGCAGGCAGACCATGAGTTTAAGAGTTCGAGACCATCCTGGCCAACGTGGTGAAACCCCATCTCTACTAAAAATACAAAAAAATTAGCTGGTCGTGGTGGTGTGTGCCTGTAGTACCAGCTACTCGGGAGGCTGATGCAGAACCACTTGAACCTGGGAGGCAGAGGTTGCAGTGAGCCGAGATTGTCCCACTGCACTCCAGCCTGACAACAGAGTGAGACTCTGTCTCAAAAAAAAAAAAAAAAAAAAAAAAAAAGAAAAAAAGAAAAAAAAAGAGTAAATGAGACAAAGTTTATGAGGCATTTTTTCTTATCTCCTCTAGAGAAGAAAGAAAAAAAAGAAAAAAGAGTTTATTGAGGCTTGCTTTGTGGCCTAGCATATGCTTTATTTTTGAGAATGTTCTGTGTGCAGAAGAGATGAATATATATTCTGCCATTGTATGTAGAGGGTTCTGTAAATGTCTGCTAGGTCTATTTTGTCTAGAGTCCGATTTAAGTCTAGAGTTTCTTTGTTGATTTTCTGCCTTGCTGATCTGTTAGTGCTGTCAGTGGGGTGTTGAAGCTCCTCACTATTATTGTATTGCTATTAATCTCTTTTCCTGGGTCTAGCAGTATTTGTTTATGAATGTGGGTGCTCTGGTGTTGGATGCATATATATTTAGAATTGTTATATCTTCTTATTGAATTGGTCCTTTTATCATTGCATAATGAACTTCCCTATCTTTTTTCTTTAACTGTTTTGACTTAAAGTCTGTTTTACTTGATATAGTGTAGCAACCCCTGCTCCTTTTTGGTTTCCATTTGCATGGAATATCTTTCTCCACTCCTTGATTTTGAGCCTGTAAATGTTTTTACTGGTTAAGGAGTTTCTTGTAAACAGCATACGGTTGGATTTTGTGTTTTTATTCATTTAGTCAGCCCATATTTTTTTAAGTGAAGCATTTAGCCTTTTTATGTTTAATATTGATATGTGAGGCTTTATTCCTGTCCTAATGTTAATGGTTATCCAGTTGCTTTACAGTTTTTGACTGAGTAATTGCTTTATAAGTCCTGTGAGTTTTATACTTTCATATGTTTTTATGATAGTGTATATTGCCCTTTAGCTTCCATGTGTAGAACTTCTTAAAGCATTTCTTATAGGACCGGCCTAGTGGTGACAAATTCCCTTAGCATTTGCTTGTTTAGGAAACACTTTATTTCTCCTTAAAAATATGGAATGCTTCACAAGTTTGCATGTCATCCTACTTCAGGGGCCACGCTAATTACTGTATCATTCCAATTTTAAGGTATCTCCTGCCAAAGTGAGAACAACTCAAAGCTCTTAATCAGTTTGTTTAGACTCAAGGGCCTTTCACTGAACCTCTGAAAAGATGAGGCCATGTCACTGGGCTGATTCAGTGACATGACCCATACTAAAATGGGCATTGGGTCAGGGAATGGGTTGAACCAGGGCCGTGACTTGATATTGGGCTGAGCATTGAGCTGGAGCTGGACATGTAAAGGGTACAGGCAGCACAAGTGTGATTAAATCATGCTTCTCAACCTCAGTACAATTGACATTTTGACTCAGATAATTAATTGTTGTGGGGCTGTCCCTTCCTAGGATGTTTAGCAGCATCCCTGGCTTCTGCCAACCAGCATTCCCCTGCCTCTTAGTTTTCACAGCCAAAAATGTCCCATGACATTGCCAAATGTCCCATGACATTGCCAAACGTTCCCTGGAGGGCTAAATTGCACACATATAGACAACTATCAGGCTAAACTTTTGCAGCGGATAAAAGCTTTATACATCCTCAGAAGAATATATTATCCCAGGCTTGGCTCTTTTGATTCAGGAAAACTTTGGCACTAAGAAATTTTAAGTCTTGACCTTGTTCTTTTATCTGTCCCTAGGGGAGGCTGCCAACAGTGGAATATACTAGCTTGGTGATAAGAGTGGGTTCTGGGAATATGTTCTACCTTGCAGGGTACCCTGTAATCTGTGAGCGATGAACTGCTGTGTTTTGCAGGCACACCACCAAATGCTGCAGCACTAGAGGCAGCCCAAGACCTGATCCAGTGTGCCATGGTCAAGGGGTACCTGACTCCCAACTACCTGCTGGTGGCCCACAGTGATGTAGCCAGAACCTTGTCTCCTGGACAGGCTTTGTACAACATCATCAGCACCTGGCCTCATTTCAAACACTGAAGAAGCCCCAGGTCCTTCTGAGACTGCTCCCCCTCCCCTGTCAGGTCTCTCCTGTCCTCACCATCCACCTTGGCTCAACACCTTGTGTCCTCCTCCCCTGCCACCCCATTCTGTGCCTCCTTTTTCAGATTTGAATGATCATGTTCTCTCCTGCCAACACCCTCCAAGGGCCCCCAAACCTCAGAGCTGGACATTCACAGTCCTCTGACTCTGAGTCAGACTTCCTCTCTCCTTATCTTCCTCTCCCTGTGAACCCAACTCCTGAGCCAGGTGAGGCAATGGCTGGTTCTTGTTGCATTTCCCTCTCTCTCTGTCTCTAACTGTCTGTCTCGCTTTTGCTCTCCATGACCCTCTGCCTTGTGAGCCTTCCCCTGGTATCTGCCTGGCGGCCCCCACACTCCACCCCTCACCCCTCATCCATAATTCAGGTCAATGTGACCACTCTTCTTTGCTTACACATAAACTTGTATATACGTGGATGCAGCCCTTATTTAAGGGCTGTTGTTATTTACAAATATGTCTATTCTTGCTCCTGGGCTGTGAGTTTCTCCAGAGGAGGACCTGTCTTTTATTCATCTCTATGTCCTCAGTTTCTCAGCAGTGTCTGAAATTTAATAGGTTCTACTGATGTTTATTAGATAAATGGATGAATAAATGAATGAAGACATCCAAATTTATGTTCACCTTGCCAATTTGCTACATCATCCCCATTTGGAGGAGCCTTTCTGGACAGTGCCCCCATCCCACCAGCATTTTCTGTGTTTCTGTTTTCTCCCAGTCCAAGAGCCATAAGATCTATATGGTACCACCATCTGTGTAAGAGGAAGCAAAGAGAAACAAGGTGTCTGATGGACGTGAGAACCTCAAATAACCAAGATATTTTTACCCCAATTTTTTCATCGCTTAGCATCCCAAATCAAGAGACCTTTTTGCATACTCCAGTGGTGTACAAACACAAAGGATTCTGTGATAAGATCTGCAGGAACTTGAACAGTCTGGGTCCTATGCCTCTCAAAACTAGCCAGCCAAACTTCCCTTCTAGAACAAAGCCCCACAGGGGAGAACTGCTGGAAACAGAATCTAGTTCAGTCCAGTCATAAGAGATTAAAAAAAAAAAAAGAATAAAGGAAAATCTCAGATGAAAGTGTGGAAATGCAGTGGAGCAAGAAGCTCTCTGAATATAAGCCACCATATTGTTGAACACTTACTTGAAAAAAATAATAGAAGAAGGCATCCGGAGTGATTGAATTAAAAAAAGATATTCAAAACCATATATCTTTAAAGTTGAGGAAAGCTAATATCATATAAAATAAACAACAGAAAATAATTGAGGTTCAAATCCACATGAAGTTGTTATAAGATAAAAATAGAATCAGGAGCAGAATCAGGAAAATGAAAGCATTACATAAAGACATGCTTACAGGTAATAACTAGAAACTACAATTGCAAACTGAGCTAAAATAATTACAAAAATAGCACAAGATATGAAAGAACAATTAATGGAATGTACAAAAACTCAGAAATGAGGTAGTGAACTCAGAAGAGAATAATAAAGGAAACATCCATTTCAGAAATAACCAGTAAAAAAAAAAGATGTTAAAAGTGGATATACATAATGGATAATACCTTTAAAGAAAAATGAGATAAAATAAAGGAAAACTCTAAAAATAAAAAAGAAATTAAAATGTAAGATGAAAAGAATTAGAGAGAAAGTAATAAATATAAGATAGGCAAAGAAGATACATATAATTGGAGTCCCTAAAGAACAAAACTAAAGTAAAGGAATGGAACGAATTTTAAAAACTACTATTCTAGAAACACCTCCTGAAATAAAAAAATGTTTTGAAATTTTGTTTATAAGGGGGACACTTCATACAAGAAAAGATGGACTCAAAATGATGAATACAAACATATGGCCTAGTTGAACTATGGGTTTTAAAGAACTGTTTCTTCAGTGGAAAATATCTTTCGGGCATTCAGGAAAAAACCAAAAGCAAATTACTATTAAGAGAGAAAAATATCATTAGACTTATTGGCAACAACATTTTGGGCTAGGAAAAAATATAATAACATATTTTAAAAATAAGACAAAATGTGATAATGTGATCCAAGGATTTTATGTTCAACTAAATTGATTTTTATGTACAAAGGTCACAGATAAACTCTGACGAACATGGAAGAACTCTGTGAATATTGTTCCTATGAGCCCCTTTGTAGGAATCTACAGGAGAATGTCTTTAAAAATGACCAGAATAACTGGAGAGACACTGGCATTATGACTGGTGGAAAGCATTTAATATGTATTTACTTGTAGAATTAAGACTAAATGAAGGTTATTGGAAAGATAGTATTTGCCTGGAACAGTGGCTCATGCCTGTAATCTCAGCACTTTGGGAGGCTGAGGCAGATGAATCACCTGGGGTCAGGAATTTGAGACCAGCCTGACCAAAATGGTGAAACGCTGTCTCTGCTGAAAATACAAAAAATTAGTTGGGTTTGGTGGCATGTGCCCGTAATTTCAACTACTTGAGAGGTTGAGGCAGGAGAATCCCCTGAACTCAGGAGGTGGAAGTTGCAGTGAGTGGAGGTTGCGCCACTGTACTACAGCCTGGGCAACAAGAGTGAAACTTCATCTCAAAGAAAGAAAAAAGGAAAGTTAGTATTGTATGTAAAGGTTATGCGCTCTGACAACGTAGTATAAGGTAGAACTGTAAAACAGTGGGAAGAGAATAAGGATAGCATCTGCAAATTAATTTTTAAAACCATTTTAGTAATCATATTGTATGCTAATATTGATACTGTTATTGGAAGAAAGTTTAGTGTGAGATGTTGAATCAAACAAATGAGTAATTATGTGATATTCCAATTCCATCATCCCAGCGTTTTTGAAAGTAGGATTCTCAATGTGGGAAAAGGAGATACAGATGAACACAGCAGAGGCTAAGTACAACACTGTGTCCCTGGATGTGAATTTAAAAGATTATGAACATATGAGGTGTTTAATCTTAAGTAATTTTATCTTTGCTCACTGAAAGGGCCTGGAAACCCGATCAATACGGTAGCAATAAGCATTCATACCACCCAATGTGACCTAAAAAAATACAATTTCCCAGTAAAAGACATCAACAGTTCATAGAGAAACGGCTGATTTCGGGTTGGGATAGGAAACATATAAGTTAAAGCATTTTATCTTATCAAATAGCAATGAAGCTATCAAATATTTCTCATATTGGGTCAAAAGGACTTGGGAAATTTCTACTGTCTAATGGGGAAATTCTAATGTCTAATGGCTAATGAGACAATATGAACATCAACAGCAGCAATAACTGCAATGGGTCTGAGCTTGTTGAGTTTAAATCAACACATTCATAACAATACAAAAAAAGAAAACCTGAATTGTCACTGCTAATCCAATTTTTCCACATCCACTGAATCCAGTTTTTTATTTTAAAACTTGTAAAAAAAAAAAAGGGAAAGAGGATGTACCTATGCTGCCTTTCCTCTACAAAGAATACAATTGAATAACCAAATAGTAGAGAACTTCTCCTAATAGATATGCTCTAATAAATAAATGAAAAAGTAATGGTAGAAATGGAATATCACCACCTTGCAAGCCCTAATAAAAAATCTAGATATTAATGACTGTTAACATCACACACGCAGCTCCCAATTGACGAAAGGTCTGTGGACTCAGGAACCATGCTTGTCTTTTTCACCACTGTTTATCTAGCTGCTGTATATAGCAGTTGCTCACTAAATATAAGCTAAGTGGATGAATGTTGAATCCCAAGAATCCAGGGAATATGCTCCTTAATTTCTGATATTGTTTTCATAGCTGATCCAAAGTGTTGGCTTGACAGGATCTGTGTCTCCTAAGATCCCACATCCTCATCATGGGAATTGGTGTTGGCTGGGGGCTAGGAACTCGTGAGTGAGAGATGGAAGAGTCAAAAGGAAACATATCCAGGATCGAACCCAATTAGAGCAGGCACACAGAGTCAACATGTAATCCATGAGAGGGAGCTTAACAACGTTTATTGAGTCTTTTCTGTGTGCACAGAGTCTATGAGGATTCATGAACCTTCATAACAATTCTGTGGACTAGGTATTGTCATTTCTGCTTGACAGCTGAGGAAGCAGGTTCAGAGAGTTTAATAAGTTTGTCTAATGTCATATAACTTATGGGTGTCAGTGCCAAGATGGGCTTGCATCTAGGTGTACCTGACTTCAAAATCTTTTGGGAATTATACCATGGCAAGCTTTCTTTGGATCTCAAGTTCCTTCTTAAATGCCGTGACCAGAAGTAAACACAATACTCCAAGGGTTCCCAGACTCAGGCAGAGTTCAGGGGAGCCATTATTTCTCTTACTACACTATATACTAATTATATATGGTGATACATATGAAAATTCTTTATGAATGATATAGTTCTCAGTTGATAGTTATAATAATTACAAGGCCTAAGAGTGCATGACCTATTTTGATTTCTGTGTCCTCCTGATCACTCTTGTTGATTTGGCAGATGGGGAGAACTATCAGGCCTTCTAGAAATAAGTTATATAAATCCACATTTCAACCATTGTGCCTAATCAGACCTAGTTTTTAAAAGAGTGTAGTTTGTCCTGATTTAGTGGCATTATGGTTTTTCAGCCATGAAATATTTCAGAATCTCAATTTTGTCATCTGCTTTGAGCTCGCTGTGAACTTGATGCTTTTGTGTCATCTGAAAATATGAGTGGCATGTCTTCTCTGCCTTCTTGTATCCTTCATCAGCATTCTTCCCGTAGGGAATTCAGACCACACTTGCTAGATGATGTGTATCAGGTACTTCTGCATAATTGCCCCACCTAACATTTATAAAAGCCCATGAGGTAGGTACTATATTGTCTGTTTGCACATGAAGGCACCAAGAGGTGCCCAAGAATTAACCTGGCAGAAAGAGTACAGGCTGGCTTGGAACCAGGCCCCTGACTCTGGGTTCGCTGTCAACTTTCCTTCATCATAGCTCCCAGCAATTTCATTATAGTTTGTGTGATTTCACCAGTGACCTCCTCCAGAGGCACCTGGTTCATCAAGCACACACCTTTCCTTTCATTTATGAGTTACAAACATAATGACACAATGAGAAGTACTACCATGTAGCCCATTTGGTTTTATAATGCTGTAGAGAGAAGGAATAATGGCTGAAATGTGTGTGTGTGTGTGTGTGTGTGTGTGTGTGTTTGTGTATGTGTATACATATTGCCACTAGTATCCAACATTTTCAGTCAGCCCATATGGTTTATGCAATCCATTTTTTTACTTAAGCAAGTGTTTCATTTAATCCTGTCCTTAGTTTTTCCTTTATCTGTTTGAGTAAAAAATATATGTATATGGGGCACTAGTTCACGTTTCAAGTGTGAAGTTTCTGGCATTTCATGACCTATAAGGCCCTCCAGTTAATGTCAGATGCCAGTCAGTTATTGAACTATGTGCCTCAGCATTATGTTTAAGGGGCATGTGGAAGGGACACTGCTGGATGGTGGCTGACTTGTCTTTTGCTCTCCGTTGTATCCCCAGTTCCTACCACGGTGGGAGGACCACTAGAACATACTGTTAGCTCAGTAAATATTTGTTGTATGAATCAATGAATGAGTGTCCTTGATTTCTGGATTGTGGGCTATGTTTTGGGAT